GTATACAGACACACTCCTCGGAAAAACCCACAATGGCTAAGAATTGACTTCTCCTAGCCGAACTCACACTCCAACTGGCATACACAGCCATGTGGATCTCAGCAACTCCAAGCAACTGTCAAGTGTCTCTGCCGTCGTGCTCCTCTCGAAGGGCGAATAGAATAAGAAGTCCGTCCACGAATAACGACTACAATCGATCTAAGAATTACCGGAAGATCCGGTTCATCAAGTCCGATAAGACTGCGGTGCATTTGGTAAGCCCAAATGGCATACCAGAAAACTCATAATTGGGCCACACCGGTACGGAATGCCCGTTCTTTTAGAAATTCCTCCTCCCTGACCCTCAACTGGTGGTAGAGACTCGCGAATTAAGACCAGGTCTAATCTATTAGAGAAACACATGAGGATATCCATCATCTTACGGCATAGTAATTCTACGTATGCCCGATTCAACTTCCGGTAGTTAAGATCACATTAGGCACCATTTTCTTTTACAGGGGACGGTGCCTATCCTCCACAGGTGAACACACAGGGGACAAAACCATTTAGCAATCTCCTGGAGCTATTTCAAACTCCATCCCAACTTGGCGTGAGCAAAACGGTAAGGTCGCATAGAATGGCGCCTGCCGGGTCATAATCAATAAGAGAATCTCATCTTCTCGGTGAGTGGCAACTAACAAGTCTTCGGGAAATCGTATCACGACCGCTGGCAATACAAATGGTTCATCAACCCATTCACCACTATCAATGCATAGCAAGTAGACTACTAAGGCACACTTCGCGTCGCGATCATAGTCTAACCGGTGGACACTATTTCCAACTGGTCCTCCCAAGAATGAGAAACCACTCCCCCGCTCAAGGTACTAACGTGCTCTGGGGTAGATGATCATGGGTATGACGATAGCCAGTTCATACCCAAAATACAACATCAACCCTTAATGGGCATGACAAAAAAGGAAAGGAAAGCGCCTATGGGCGACGCTCTAATCACTCTAATGCTGTTAAGATGCAGTTCACCTCCAAGGAGGTGACTGCCCACAGCAGTTGTTCAACGGGATTGAGCTCTTCTTCCCGCCTCAGCGGACAGCTCCTTGGTGGTTGCCGGCGAGCCTGGGAGGTACGCTTTTGGGAGTGGTTCCATTTCTTGGGGGACCGGGTTGGTAGTGTTTTGCCACCGGGGTATGATCCGCGAGGGCGGAGTGAGCTTAGTGGTTTACTTGCTAGCTTTGAGAGTGGTGAGTGTGATAAGACCCAGGTTGTGTTGCCGAGGGTAGTTTGTGAGTACTCGAACGTCTTTCCCGAGGATCTCGTTAGTTTGCCGCCTCATCGGGAGATCGAGTTCTCCATTGATTTAGTGCCCGGCACGGCGCCGATTTCTATGGCACCTTACCGTTTTGCTCCAGCAGAGTTGGTTG